CCAAGGTCTTTCTGACTTCAATCCCAGTTCTTAATCTACTACTGTGAGGCTGCATCTTGGGTTTTTATAGATGATTCATATATTTTTTATAGATCATTTATAGAAAAATAAGCTTTTTATAGATAGGGTAAAACCCAGAGATCACCTCAATATAGTCATTGTGAAGTAAATTTTGGTATAAATTCTCTGATTTTATTTGATAAAGATGGATTTATGGTATAAGTATGATACCAAGGAAAATGCAGAGCACTTATTCTGTAGATGTTTATAAATAAGAATGATAGCAAAATCTCAACTACATTCCCTGGATATCATCCAAGATTTTTTCAGGAAGTCAGCATCTTGGCAAGCAGTGGTGAAGACTAAACTTAGTAGGGATAAAGTTAGAAATAGGCCTTTCCTTTTAATAGCTATTATTTTAGAGGAAATAATTAAATACTCATTTTGATTAATGTCAAGATCAACTAGTATTCCCATTAACCAGTTTGAAAAGTAGCAAAAGGCAGATTACTCAAAGATGGGAAGCATACATAATATGTAAGATGACAGAATAAAGATTCAGGAAGATCTGGGAAAGCTGATGTAAAATTCTGCCATTAGGCTAGAAGAAGGGTAATTGTACTGTCACAGAATGTCAGAGTTGGAAGAGAAGTTGAGGCTGTCTAGTTCAATTTGTAACCTGGAAAAGACTGCTCCACCCCACCCCCACCCCCAGGACATTCCTATGAAGCAGTCACTCAGTGAAGACTCTTAGGGTTAGGAAATTCACTACCCACTGAGGAAGGACAAGATTTTTGGACAGCTCTTTTTTTAAAGCAAAATTTCCCTTACATCAAGCCTAAATTTACCTCTCATCCCATCTAGTTTTGTTCTCTGTGTCCAAGACTAACAGCTCTAACCCCTCTTTCACATAAAAGCCCTTCAAATACTTGCAGATTCCCTCCCCTCTCCCAGCCCTTAAATTTTTTCTTCTTCAGGTGAAACAACCCCTGCCTTGGATAAGTGCCTACTATGTACCAGGAACTGTGCTAGTGGCTGGGGATACAAATTCCATGAATGAAACAGGGTGAGAAAATCGGTTATATCGCATTTTAGAAACTGCCTGCTTTCAATGAGTCCAAGTTGCTTCCTGACACAAAAGGTCCATTGTTTTATCATCAGTATTCTCCTGGTAATGCTATCACGCTGCAAATCATGAAGCATCAGGATCGCAAAATAATCAAAATTGCAGGTAACTCAAAGGCAAGTGGAGAAACTACGGATAGTGTAAGAAGCCTGGAGCACATGACCAATGACACTTATCTGTAAGAAATGTAACAAAGATTATTAAAGAAGCGCTCAAATGATATTAACAAATAGTTCTCAAAAGAACTGCAAACCATTAACAATATGAAAGAGTGCTCCAAATCAGTAGCAATAAGAGAAATGTAAATTTTTTAAAATCTGAGATTTCACTTTACACCCAGTGTACTGGTAAAAGAAACTAAAAAAAGGGGGGTGTTGGGAATAGCCAATACTGGAGGGTTTGGGGAAAGGCAAGAATACTAATGCACTGTTGGTAGAGTTACAATTGGTCCAACCATTCTGGAAAACAATTTGGGATTGGATGGGGGCGGAGAGAATAAAGTTTCCATCTTTTGCCCCTAGAGGTCACACTGGTAGGTATATTCCCTAAGGAGATCAAATTAATCAATCAATAAACATGAGGTCCAATATACACCAAAATATTTCCAGCATTGCTCTTTGTAGCAGTAAATAACTGGAAACATAGAAGATGTTCATTCATTGAGGAACAGCTAACCAAATTGTGGAACATGTATGTTATGGAATATTATAGGTATTATAAGAAATGATGAACATGAAAAACCCTGGGAGACTTATTGAGGCAGAGTAAACCAGGAAAACAATGCACACAATGACAACATAATTGTAAAGGCCGGTACCCTCTGCCACCCTGCCCCCTTCACCCAGAAACAGAATACTGCATTGGTATAATGACTGTGCTTGCGAATGAAGAGATGTTATGCCAAGATATTATGCCTCCCTCCCTTCTTGATAGTTTTGCTGAACTGCTTCCCGCCCCACCCCTTCCTAATCTTTGTCATAAGGGATGAGGCAGCAAGGTGGCAAAGTGCATAGGATGCTGGGCATGGAATCGGAAAAATTCATCTTTCTGAGTTCAAATCTGGCCTCAGACATGTACTAGCTATGTGACCCTGGGCAAGTCACTTAACCCTGTTTGCCTCAGTTTTCTCATCTGTAAAATGAGCTGGAGGATGAAATGGTAAACTTCTCCAGTATCTTTGCTAAGAAAACCCCAAACTGGGTCATGAAGAGTCAGAAACTACTAACCGGAAAACTACTAATAAGAAAAAAATTTTTCAGTGGTGCAGGGAGGAGGGACATTTGAGAAATGATGGCCATATGAAAACAAAAGATGTAAAAGCAAATAAAAAAAAAGACATCATGAAGCATATGTATGCGTGGAAAAGGAAGGGAGCCAGTCATGTAGGAAGAGCAAGGGATGACAATGCTAAGGAACAACACAATTCTTCACAAGGAGCCCCATTTCACTTTAAGGCAGATCTTAGTTCTGACAACTAACTGTTAAAAAGTTAGACTTGTTAAAACAGCTCGTGTCTTCTACAGGTAGGCACAAAAGATTAAAATTCCTAGAAGAGGCATTTAGTGCCTTGGGTGAATTCTTCACATATTCATTGAATGACATGAACAATAATTGGGGGCCATTTACAGTGGTCCTGATCCATATCTGAACCCCGAGGAGAAAGTGGCTCTGGAGGAGAAAGTGAGGCTGGTGACTCTGCAAGCCCTCCCTCACTGTAATCCAATTCACCCACAAGTCATGGCATCGCCTTCCTGATGTCATGGTCATCTTCCAGAATGAAGGACCAACAAGGACCTGAACAATGATCACGCTGGACAAGAAAATGCAGGTGACCTTAGGTCTGTATCCATGGAGCGAATACCTATAGAGATGAGATAACAGGGGCAGCTAGGTGGGCAGTGGATAGAGCACCGGCCCTGAACTCAGGAGGACCTGAGTTCAAATGTGACCTCAGACCAAACACTTGACACTTACTAGCTGTGTGACCCTGGGCAAGTCACTTAACCCCAATTGCCTTAAAAAAAAAAAAAAAAGACTATAACTTGAAGAAAAGTTCGACTAGCATTGATGGAAAGTTTCCTCACCAGGGAGCTCACTTTACTGGTCAAATCACAGGTCCAGTCGTTATTCCTAAAGAGGCCAAGATGTAATCAATTTTTAATAACTCATATTAAACTATTTTTAAGTTAAGCACACAATATGATTAAATATGAATTGGAAAGTAATCTATTTACTGATTTATTGGCCTAATAATCAGCGGATGGAAGTTTCTATATAAAAGCAGCGCTAAGATTTACATTGTAAGGCAGGCTAGAAAGCACAAATACGACAGCTTTGAAAAGCTAGGGTTGAATTTATTATACAGTTAAAAAGAAAAGCAAGCTGTACATAATAGAGCTCTGCAGTTTCGTGTACCATCTTTTTCTCTTCTACTACGTATGTGGAAATGCCCTTTTATTGAAGTTCAGATAGAGGCAGGCAGGTGGCACAATAGGGAGGTGGATTGACCTGGAGTCAAAGATCTAAATTCAAATGTGACCTCAAACACTTGCTGCTACTAGCTAGCATTTACATAGCCTTTACAAACATTATCTCGTTTGATCCTCATAATAACCCTGGGAGGTAGATGTCACTATTATCTCTATTTTACATTGGAGGAAACTGAGGCCAATAGAGGTTAACTGACTGGTCCAGGGTCACACAGCCTGGGCAAGTCACTTAACCTCTCGGTCTGGTTTCCTCACCAAATAGGAATGACACCTCTCAGGGCTGTCATAAGGATAAAAAAAAAATGGTATTTGTAAAGCGCTTTGCCAATTTAAAGTGCTACATAATTGCTAGTTAAATACAAGTTTTCTCTCAAACGCAGGGAGCAACATGGCTAGCTACTTGTGCCAAAGGAGAATAGAAAGGGTGTCCCGGGGGAGGCTTCAATATTTTACCTGGAGTACCGCGCCCCACCCCCCATCTCCCGGCCTGTTCGTCGTACACAGCAAGGGCTCAATAAGTGCTTGCCAATTCGTGAATTCCCCGATTCGAGGGACACCGGGCACAATTCCCTGGCACGTGTCGGGCGCTGAACAAATGCTTGTTGACCGGACAATTCCTATCATTATGCGGGCCGGAATGAAAAACGAGTTCAAACTAGTTTCCAGACAAGTTTGATGTCATTCCACTTAGCGCTGCCAACGTGTTTCCAGCGCACCCGTGCGAGCGATTATTAAGCGCCTACTGTATGCTAGGCACTGAGGGATTTAAGGGGTCAACGGGCTCACGAGGGACAGGGAAGGCGGGAGCTGGGGGCGGGCTGGCATGGGGGAGGAGGCTGCTTGGCACCTTTCACCGAAGCCGCCGGAAGGGCAAGGTTAAGGTCAAGGCACACCCATCCGCGCCTCTCTTCGCGGATTTTCCGCCCACAAACACCTGGTGCTTACTAGTAAGCCACGCTCTCTCCCTCTCCGGTGCCACCTGCTGGCAGGCAGGCAGCCCGGCCCCTAGGCGGGCTCCGCACATAAAACCACCATGCGCCTTCCTCCTTCCTCTCACCTCCACATTTCCCTTCTCTCTCTATCTCTATCTCTCTCACTCTCTCTCTCTCTCTCTCCCGCCGGTAGCTCGCGCGAGTGCGCAGTTGCCATCCGGGGAAAGTCCCCCGGGGTGGGGTGGTGTGAAGAGAAGACTACAACTCCCAGAGGGCAACGCAAAAAGGGAAAAACCCAGTCTCCCGGTCCAGAAGCAGCAGGGGTGGGGGGTGGAAAGGGGAAGCTGAAAGCTCGCGCGTCGCGAGAGCGAGGCCGCAGCGGGTGGGGGTGAGGAGGAGGAAGAGGAGGAGGTGGTGTCCCACAATACCAGGCGGGAGGGCGGGTAGGCGGCTTGTATCCGGGCTCGGAGGCTCGGAGGCTCTAAGGCTGGGACTCCGCCGCGTCGCTGCTGCCTCGCCGCCGCCGCTCGCTGTCTCTTGAAGGCAAGAGGAAGCGATGCGGAGGGGAGGAAAATGGCAGAGCTGCAGATGCTCCTAGAGGAAGAGATCCCGTCCGGCAAGAGGGCGCTGATCGAGAGTTACCAGAACCTGACCCGGGTGGCGGACTACTGTGAGAACAACTACATACAGGTGAGGCGGGGGGAGGGGAGGGCAGGGGAGAGGAGGGGCGGCCCCCGCCCCGGCGCCGGCCTCGTCCGGCTCCCGGCCCCGGCCCCGGGGGGAGGCGCTGCCGCCCGCCCGCCGCCCCCCGCCAGGGCTCCGCTACAGGAAGTGGGCTGGGGTGGGAAGAGAAGGGGGAGAGCGAGAAAATGGGCGAGCGCCCGGGGGGGACCCGCCACCGCCGCCGCCGCCTCGCCCGGCACCCGCCCGCCCGGCTGCCCCGCTGACACCCCCCGCGCCTCGGGTTCCGGCTGCGGCTGCTGGGGCCACCGCCACCCGCGCCCGGAGCGAGCCCGTGCGCGCCCGCCTGCAGCCGGGTCCGGAGGGCAAGGGGCACGAGGAGGGAAACCGAGGCAGCCAGGGCGCGAGCCGGCGGGCGTGGGTGTGAGCGTCTGGTACGTGTGTGTGACTGTGCATACAGAGGTGTGTGGGGGTGCGTGTGTGCTTGTATGTATCGATGTGTCTGTGTGTGCTTGTATGTATGTGTGTGAGTGATTGCGTGTATATGGGTGTGTGATTGTATGTATAGATGTGAGTGCGATTCTGTGTATGTGTGTGACTGTACTTGTGCACTTGTACGTATGTGTGTGATGTGTCTGTGTGTGTGTGTGTGTGTGTGTGTGAGAGAGAGAGAGAGGATGACTGTCGGGGAGAGGGTGGGGTGAGCGCGGGGGGAGGGGGGTGGATTATGTCAGCTCGCCCCAGAGGGTGTGCCTTGTATTCTATTTTATTTATTTGTCATGAGTCACCTCGCTGGGGAGAAGGGCCCTTTGGGGAGGGCTCTGGAGAGGAAGAAGGTGAATGGACCCCTGACCCCCGGCTTGGCCCCTGGCTCCCGGGTTTGCAGACCGGTCCCCTTCCTCCTTCCCACTCGCACAGTTTCACTTCCGCTCTTGGGCTTTGGCATCTTGTGCGGGAGGGTGATTAGGGCGGTCGGGTAGAATTTTCGTCGTGAATTATTTTTAACTACTGGAGAGATGCCTTGAACGTTCGCTCTCCTCCCTTATCCATCAAAAATAAGAAAGTTCTTAGAGCTCCCGAATTTGTCGGTAACTTAGAGCCTCCTCTTTCTGTTCGGTTCCCTATTTTCTGAGCGAAGTTTTCCTTTCCTTCCAACAGAGGTAGGTGGTTAAGATGATTAAAAAGTATCTCCAAGGCAGAAAACCACACACCCACACCCCCCATTTACATTCAAATGTATGTATTTAGAAATATACACAAACATGTCTACACACATATCCATATTCTTACACATATACATATGTATAGACACTTGCAGGGTGCCCCAAAAGTCAGAACTGTACTAAGACTTTTGGGAACCCCATCTAATAATGTAAAAGTCATGTACTATAAAATCATGAAACCTAGAGAATGTCTAGGGAATTTTTATTATTGCTTGTCAGCTGATTTTCTTGAACTGAGCTTAGATGGAAATGCATTTCTCACAACTCAGCTGTAAATTTTTAGGGTGTGGAAATAATGGACAAATTGTAATGGGCACTTCATATTAATCATATGGTAAGAAGTTCCCTAAATACTGGATAGTCATGGCAGATAAGGGCTTTTAAAAGGTTTGAGTTACTTCAGTAATAAAGAGGTAAAGAGAAAATTTTTGGAAATAATTCCTGTATGTCGTTATCTTGCCAATGTCTTGCCATTTCCTCCACTTTATTTCTCCTTGAAAGTACAGAGAATGAATGTTGCTTTTGTAAATATTTGGAATCTTTCTCAATTTTCATATTCATTTCAAGCCCTAACTATCTGCTAGGCATTGTGCTTGCTATTAGTCATACTCTAACTATAGAAAAAATTATTGACTCTTATTCTTATCCACTGATAACATGGATTTTTGAAAAAAGTTCATTTTACAAACCACAAAATAATTTTGTAGTTCCTCAAAATGAAAAAGCACATACTGAACTGAAGTTCCAAAGCCAAGCCTTGAAAATTCAGGTGAAAATTGGAAGGATCTTACAAGTCAAAACTTAAATACCTTATTTGAATCTTATAAAAGCCTATTTCTAAGGTCTGTAGATAGATACTTCAAAACGGGGAGGTTCCATTTGGTTTTATATGTTGGGAAATAGGACAGGTATATGGTATGGTAACACATGTTTTAACCTGTCCAATTTTTTGTCAGTGTAGTTATTTTTTGTTTTTCTATTGCAAAACTTGGAAGCAGTTTAAACTCTACCGGTAGTCTCTTCCATTAACATAAATTGCTTCATAAGTTTATTCTCCCTAGTAAAACCAGAAAGCTAAGAATCCTGTTAGTGATTCTCAAAACCTTTTTCATTTTATCAATTGAACACCAGTGAATCATATTTTTTTTTTACCCTTAGCCCTAAAAAAGATAGGAAAATATTTTAAAAATAATGACAGGTACATATAACAGTGATTATCAGAATGTAGTCTTTTACTTCTTAAGCTCTGCTTATGCCAGGTGCCTTAATCTACCCTGCATTCCAAATCAGGTAGAAGGTGAATGTGGTATTGGTGGAGGGTATCATCACTGCTGTTCTCGTCATTGCTGTGACTGGATGAGATTCTTATTAATGTTCTCTCGTGTGTTCGTCTTAAAGGTTGGAATGACTTTTTTTGAGCCTCTTTTGTGACCTGTGTACCCTTGATGCTTTCTGATGCTAGGAAGCAATACACTATGTAAACAAATATCTTTGGACAGGGTAATGATGATGATGATGTGCAGCTATATAATAACCTTTTGAAAGGAACGTTATGTGTCCTGAGGTGAAGTTGAGTAGTAGCTTTATGGTTTTTCACATGGTGACTTGAATGCAGGTTTGACCTTTTTTACAGATTGGTTAATGTTGAACATACCAGGGATGTTTAGCCTGGAAAAGAGAATTTAGGGAATTCATCACTGCCTTCAAATATTTGAAGGACTGTCTCTTGAAAGAAAAGTATAGATTTAGGCTGCTTTAGGCTGATCCTGAGAAGAGAATTAGAACCAGTGGATGGGTGTTACTGGAAGGCAGAATATTTTGGTAAAGTATGAGGAAGAAACTTCCTAACAGAGCTGTTAGAAAATGGTATGGATTAGTGTTGTCATGAGCTTTTCATTTCAGGTCTTAAAACAGAAGTAGAATGACCACTTGTCAAGGATTTGGGACTTACAACAGGGCTTGGACTAGATGACTTCTTTCAAGGTACCTGTCTACTCCCAGAATCTGATTCTAGCGCACTTCAGGTTGACTTCCTAGCAAATGCCTATGTGTTTGTGGGGCAGATTAGTTTTTAGAGCAGTTTTCCAAACCTTTATGTCCTGTGAATTAATAGACTACTGTTATCATTGTAGGGAAAATGTGGCCATGAAGTCTGTTTGGATTGTAAGAATGGAAATGATTTTATAAACTTTGCAACTGAGTATCACAAGTTTGCTGTCTGAGAAATCGGTGTCTGAAATCATGTTGCTGGCACAGTGGTTACTAGAAAATGAGGGGCTCCTAGGTGGTGCAATGGATAGAGCACCAGCCCTGGAGTCAGGAGGACCTGAGTTCAGATCTACCTCAGATACATCACACTCACTAGCTGTGTGACTCTGGGCAAGTCTTTTAACCCCAATTGCCTCATGGAAAAAAAAAGAAAATGAAATTAAAGTGTGTTGGAAAGTCTGTATGATACAGATGAAAAATGATTTTAGTCTACATTTTGGTTGAATTGGTCCGAATGATCCAGTGTTCTGTTTTCTTCTTTCCCATTTCTCCCCCTCACATCCAGTCATTTGCCAAGCTCCACTTCTATATCATGGCACACATCTCTCCTTTCTCTGTTTCCTTTCCACCCCTCAAGTCTAGGCATTTATGACTACTTTTCTGGACAGTTGTAGCCCAATAAGTCTTACTGCTTCTATTTTCTTTCTTCCCCACTCCCTTCTTTTGCATAGCTTCTGGACTAGTATTTTTTTGGTACAGATCTGATCATGTCACTTCCCAGGCTTATTTGACTTCCTGTTAACTACCAAGTATACTTCAAACGGGCTTGAGTTCATTCAGAGCCCTTTACGATATCATGATATCTTACTTTTACAGTCTTCTTTATATGGCTTCTCTCCATGTGCTGTCTTCCAGCCAAACTTCTGGAGTTTGTACTTAATGTACTTCTAGAACTCTGCATCTGAACTTACACTGTTTTTCTTATGGTTTCTGTGCCTTTTCTTGTGCTATTCTTAATGGTTGGAATGGTCCCCCTCTCTCCTCACATAACTTTGTTGGGCAACTTGCTAGTATCCTTACTGTTTGTTAGTCTGTATTATGGTTTGTGTATAAACTCCACAAATGCTTACTTAAACTTTGTATCACCTTCATTGTAACTGTGCTGTGCATAAAAAACGTGTTGAATAAATTAATCATTAAGTACCACCAAAAGGTGACACCTTGTTTTAGTGTGTGAAATGTTGAACTGTAGCACTTATCATTGGACACTATTAACATTCTTGTTTGAGTCCTTCACTTCTTTGGCAGCTGGTTGATTTCTGGTTCACAGCTTGTATCAGAGACCTTTTATAGAAGAATTGATAGAGATAAATAAAATACTTAGCTCCATCACAAACAAAACCATGGGGAAAATACATGAAAGCATTGCCCTGCTTTTATTCAAAACCATGGAATAGTGGTCCATGAAATTCTGTGGCATATGCATTTCTGGTTTTAAATATGATGGACCTGGAGAACTAGATCCAAGGTTCTCAATCTGGAATCTATGAACTTGTTTTCAAAAAAATATTTTGATAACTATATTTCATTATAGTTAGTGTCTTTTGTAATTCATTGTATTTCATTTTATTTCATTATTCTGGGAAGACATCTGTCACCAGAGTGCCAAAGGGGTCCATGGCGTGAAAAAAGGGAAAGGACCCCTAGTCTAGATTTATCAGAAGGTATAGTGCTATATTAGGAACTTTGGGAAAGCAGAGAGAGATCCCTCAAAGGTAGCTTGGGGTAAATAAAAAG